CGATCACTTGACAAATATTCAGTTTTTCGTGTATTGGGGTTTATTCTTGTTTTAATTATCTTCTCAATCTTATACAAATCAGGTCTTTTCACAGCGAAAACTTCATCATGATAAAAGACTGATGTTATCGGTTCACCATCATAATCTGTGAGTCTATATATGTACCCTTGAGGTGTTTTCTTAACTTTCACAATATTGAATATTTCTTCAGTCCAATTTTTTGTTGATCCTTTTTCAAAAATTGATTTTGCTCTTGTTATGCGAACAGTATCACCAACTTTGTAAGGTTTTTGTTTTTTCAAATTAATTGGTTGAGCTTTTCTTATGTTAACTCTTGCCCCTTCAGGATTATCCAGTGCTTCAACAGGTGACATCTTAATAGTTCTATGATAACTTGAGTTGTATCCATGAACGATATCATCCAATGCATCTATATATCTTTGACTATTTGTGTAATGTAAATATCTATAGATTCTAGATCTCAAAGTTCTATTGAATCTTTCAACAATTGCACATTTTATTACGTCATCAGTTGAAGTGAAATGAATGCTTCCATGTTGAGAAAGGAAAGATTTGAAGTTTTGATTGACAAATTCTTTTCCTTGATCCGTCTGAACTTTGAGTGGTTTTCTTTTACTACTTTCAAGTATTTTTTCAAGCGCTGAAATCACAGTTGATGATGATTTATCTTTTATTGGAATAGCCCATGCATATCTGGTCAAACAATCAATGACTGTTAAAATGTATTTGAATCTATCATTTTCTTTAGTTAACCATGTCATATCCATCAAATCAGCTTGCCATTGTTCATCGATTTCATCAACCAATATTGGTAAACGTTGAAATTTTTTTATTCTCTTTCTAAATAAATTATATGTATCTTGCTCATTCAACCATTTTTGAACAACAGTAAACTTCAAACCAGGTACCTTTTCTTTCACTGTATTATACAATTTTATAACATTTCCAAATGACCCTGGTGATTTAGGATCAAAATAAATTGATTTTAACGCTGACGTAGATCTCTCCATGTTTCTGCACGTTTTTCTTTATACAGGTTTGTTAATTGTGGAAGTTGATCAATTATAACTTGATTCTTAATAAAATCTTTCAATTGAGGTTCATTGAAGATAATGTGTTCCAATACTCTATCTGTACCATTTGGTTTTCTTAGTGAAGCACGCGGTCTGGCTAAATGAAGATGATTCACAATTTTTTTAATATCACTAGCATAAATTGGTTCACCCTCCTCAGTAAGTATTGCTCCAGCCTCATCAACAAGGTCATCAACATTTCTCAATGCCATTTCGAATTTATCAGGAGAAAAAGAGGGTCTAGGCGTAGATGTACTTGAGGGGAGTAATGGTAATTCAATCGGTCTGTGAATTGAAGGTGTTTGCATTGCACTTTGAACAGGTGCAAATTGCATTGGGCTTTGAATAGATGATGCAAAGGAATTTGATTGTGGAGGAGGATGAGCGGGGTTAAATAATGTTGCTCCGTGAGAATCCCAGTTCATTGTTTCATTGTCTATTGATTGGTCTGATTTCATTTCTTCTTCTCCATTGTCATCATAAGCAACAGCAGGTTCAGCACTCTTTTTACTGTTTACTTCTTGATATTCAAGAACATGACCCTCTCTCTCTTTCGATGGCTTAGATACCATTTTGTTGAGAAATTCAAGAAAATTACCATCTCTCCCTTGTGTTGGTTTAGTTATCATATTGTTGAGAAATTTGACTTTTGTTGATACTGGAATATTAAGATTCATGATTTTTTGTGCTTTACTTAATGGTCTGTATACATTTCTCTTGTACTGATCTTCAGAAACAAGAAACATACGAGTTACAGAATTCATTTTTATGATAGTTTATCAGATACAATGTGAGCAAGTAATGAAACAGCTGGCCAAAGTAGACCTGGTAATAAACCTCCTTTCTGATTTACAATTTTCTTTTTCAAGATAAAGATGATTTACTTGCTAACTTTCGCATTTGATTCTTATACCTTTTTAATCCGGTTTTTGATTAGAGGCTTTAATTTTATTGTTCCATTCAAAATTTGTTTTGCAATATCTGAAATTACTGCATAGATACATTTTGGGCATTTTTTCAAATACTTTTTACGTTTATCATGTGATTTGCAGCCAGCTAAAACTTTCAGATGAGAATAACACTTGATTGCCTTTTTAAGAGACATAATGAAATTTTATCTTATCTTACATCATCTTTTTTTCTTATACTAAATATGCTGTGATGTAATCTTCTTCATCAACTACGTTTGTGAGAAATCTCGTTTCCATCGGCGTATCAGGTTTCAAATCAAGGAATAGATAAGAGAAAGGTTTACGTGTTGCGTCTTCATAGATAGCTTGTAACTTTTTAGTTTTCCCAGGTAGCATTTGTCTCGCAATGTTTGTGACAATAGTTTGATCACGTGGGTTTTTAAAAAGTACCAAATATTGAGCATTAAGAGTTATGTTTCGCATTTCTTTACCACGTGAAAAAAAGTTTTGTAAAATTAGAATGACAGACAGGTTACGATGATGTGACCCTTTAGTAAACATTTCACTAATTAGTTTTGAATTTCCAGCTTCTATCATCAGATCATCAATGATTATCCATTCCGGCTCTATTCCATCAAACTTTTGCATTAAATTCTCAGGAAGACCTTGAATGAAATTGACATTTTGCATCGATGAGAAAATAGGTTGATATTCACCATAAAAATAATTAATTTTTGTCGGCGCAGGTAGGCAATATTTATCTGCATTATTTATAAGTTTTTTAATCCAATAAGTTTTCCCACTACCCGTTGGACCTGAGACAATCATTGTGAATGGATGTTTCAAGTATACGAAATAAGTTTGATTAGACATGATTAGTTTTATATTTAAATCTTCTTTATTGGTATTTCTTAAACAGTTTGATTTTGATTTCTTATAATTTTATCAATGTAGTGATACAAATCTTGTACAATGTTCAATGAACATTTGATGCTTGCACCTTTACGGGCATGAAGATAACATGGGCGTCTTCCAGATCTGATCGTACTGAAACTCGCATCATATTTGTCAGCCAAATTAACAGTTGGTATTTTCAAGCTCTTTAATATCATTTCAGATTCCTTTGATATAACACCAACCATATCAGCGGGAAAAGATCGGAAAGATTTGTAGAAAAATTTAATGATGTTTTCCATTTTATCATCGTTAATTCCTCTTTTTCTCGGTTTCAATCCATGATCATTTCGCATGATTGAATGAACCTCCTCTTTTGAAAATTCACAACTACAAGTTTTTTCAAGGTTAAGATGAATGATTTGACCTTTTCCAAACATTGATACTTCAACTGGATGATAATTACCGTTTATGTAGTAACCTTGAGTATCAAAGTAAGCACAAATAGATCTAAG